ACGATAATGGAGAAAAAACCGTCCAAGGGAAGAAGCTTCCTCAGCTTCTTGATTGGAATGGAAAATCTCAAAAGAAGCTCTTTGTAGATGTTGCAAACCAAGCAAAGGAAAACATTGAAACCATGCCAATCTCACAGGTTAAATAACTCAAAATTTTCAACCTTTCTTATTTTTCCTAGTTTTTCTTCCTTTTCTTCTTATTATGTTACTATGACAAATGTTTCAGATAAAGATAGATGGAAATGTAGAAAGTCCTAGTAGTATTGCATGTAGTGATTTTACCTTTGCCTTATCAATTAGTAGTGATGATTCTGAAGAATGTGAGACTAGTAATAACTCCCCAGGGCTAGTTGCTAGACTCATGGGTTTGGATTCATTGCCTCCTGTTTCAATGAATGATTATTGCCATGTAGATTCCATAAACATGCCACTTATGTCAAAAAACTCTTCTTGGGATAACATTGAAGAAGAATCAACCATGAATAGATTTCAAAATGAACTTTTGTCTCCTATCAAAAGCCATGGCTATGTGAAATCTAAGAATGCTGCATATATAATGGATGAGGAAAGTCCTCAACCATATATGAGAAACAAAATGTCTTCCTTGAGAACTCTTGAACTGCAAGAGAAGTCGGAAGGGGCGCAGCGCGAATCCAGGTTCAATGTGAATGGAAAAGATACTGAGAAGAGAAGAAATTCGGGAAATAGTACTTCACCGCATGGTAAAGGAAAATCTGTTTCACTAGCAACACCTTCCAAAACCGATGTTCTAAGTAAGGATACATTGAATTTGAATGGAAATAGGAGATGCATGAAGCAGAAAGAGATAAAATCGAACCAAAAGAATTGTATTGGTCAAAACAGTGATATTCTTAGGCAGAATGGTTTAACCAGCAAAGGTATATCAGCTACAAAAGTACTTAACAATAAGCCAACACGAATCTGTTCTTCAGAAAATTTGACCGGAGCTAGGAAGACAACAAACAAATGTGATGTTAATTCCATTATTGAATCCAAAAGGTCAAGCACAAGAGTAGCTGATAAGCGAAAGGAAGTTTCAGTATGCAATAGAAAGAGTTCTTCTTCCCAAAAGAAGAGGTGTGATCAGAATGGTGCACGAGGTTCTGATAATGCAGTTAATACTTTTGAAAGCAAGTCCATAAAATGTAATGTTACAACTGATGAAAGTATTTACAATGGTTCATTTAGCATGAAAGAAAGCAGGGATGTCATTTCGTTCACATTTACTTCTCCATTGAGGAGAAAAAGGCTTGAGTCGCGATCCACTACCGAGCAGGCAATGGAAACAAGGGCCGGAATTGATGTTGATTCTTTTGATCACAGTGGTAAGGTTTATCCCGAAGAGTCATCATTATCTCCTTCCAGGTTTCATGTATTAGATGTTGATGCATTAAGTGTCATGTTATCTCACATCAACCCACCTCAATGCACCTTGGAAGTAGAAGATTGTTCGTTTGGTTTTGGATCTACTTTGGAGGACAGATTTAACAGCATGGTATGCAACACATTTCAATAACTCATTTTCATTTGTTATGGATTTTGTTTTGATTTTTAAGTATTACACACAGTTAGTCAACCATTCTTCACTTGTGTAGATATCAGAACCAATAGAAGACAGAACAGTTTATTCTTCCATGCAAGATGAAGAAGTATCTAGCTCTCAAATAAATGAATCTATTACACCAGAGTACAAGGTGAATTGGTTTGAGCAAAGCTCTACAAGATCAGAAAGGATGATGGAACTTGAATATGTAAAGGATATACTCAGTAGTGCAGAATTGATGGCAGGAGAATTAGCGGTGGACGAAACCGAAAATATGATAACGCCAACTCTCTTCGATATGTTGGAGATTCAGAGAACTGAGGTAGAAAGCTATGAAGAGTACTCTAAGACTCAAAGGAAGGCTATATTTGACTGTGTAAGTGAGTGTTTAGGATTAAAATGTAGGCAAGTTTTTGTTGCAAGGTGCAAAACATGGCCTAGATGGATAACATTTATGAGGAAGAGGTGGTTAGCAGAAGAAGTGTACAAGGAAATGTTGGAATTTAGAAGCATGGAAGAAGAGGTAGTTGTGGATGAGATTATCAGAAAGGACATGTGCACTCCATTGGGTAGATGGCTTGACTTTGACATAGAAGCCTTTGAAAATGGCTTAGAAATTGAGCTTGACATAGTAACCTTTTTGATAGATGAATTGGTATCTGATTTGTGGCTAGTTTAAACCCTTGGTATCAGCTATTAGGTTCTGGCATCTTCAGATTTTTTTCTTCTGTTTTTCTTCCACCTAATCAATGAAAGAAACATTGTCAACGAACCTCACATGTCAAAACAATATGATACTACAACATGCCATGTGCTTTCATCCTTATTTCATGTCTTTGTTTTTGAACCTTTCTTTAGTATTAAATATCTGGTTCAAATTTGTCTCTCGTGGCCAAAATATATCCCCTTGTCATATGATAGTCATTGAAACAATGAAGATGTTACTCATTTTATGCAGTCACACCGAGCATAATTTACTTTTGATAAAGATAAATTTTTTTTTCAATTTATATATCACTGGTATGCTAAAGAGCTTAGGGATTATGCAAAAGATGAAATCTCTAAGTGAATGGTTAAAGGAACACATCAATTGACTTGTATAATAAACAAAATAATTAACACATAATCCACACTATACTGCTTCATAAACCCACAGTAAACAAGTTAATATGTTCACATATTTCATTGTCCAAGAACACAAATATGCAAAATGGCTAAGAACATTGACATCAAATAAAGGGCATTTAAGAACAAGAACATTAACAAAATACCACGGGTGATAATTAAACGCATCTTAAAATGTATTTTTTATTTTTGTCTAGGATGGTCAATATGGGCCAAACAAATTCATGACACCCATTCTTTATCCCTTCAAATCTATGTCAATAAAAAATGGCAATGACGACTCAAAGCGATTTAAACCTAAAAACACTCCCACAAAGGGTGATGAGATAAATGATTCGAACGAATCAAAGAAACATATAAAAGTAACAAGTCGAAAACCCAAGTCGCTTGAATTCTACTTCATAATATTGGATCTTAGATGTGTTTGACTTTCTTATTACTCAAATTATCTTTTTAAAAAAGTTATCATCAACTAAGGTAATTAACATTGATTTGTGAATCAATTAAAGTAGTCAACATTAATTGATTTTGGTTATGTCTAATTTGGGACTCCTAGTACTTGTATAAATATACTGCCTTTTTGGCCAATACAATAAAATACATTCATTCAATTATTCTTCTACTTTTTCTTTTCTTTATACTAACAAATTGATATTCGAGAGTTCGGTTTAATTTGTGTGAAAAATAGTGATTGGGGTTATGGTAGGGAACAACAATTTTCCAACAAATCCACCAATTAATGTCAAGAACCGAGACAAATTGTGCAAGCAAACGAATATGATATTCAGTGTTTAAGATGTGAGTGAATATGTGAATGAATGTCCTCTATCTTAGGTTTAAAATCCAACATAAGTTCAATGTGCAACATGTGGATCTATGTATTGTGCAAATATAATCATCAGTTAATTTTGATGACGACTATTGATTACAACTATCAAGCAATTTAAAAGATGAAAACTCCACGAGTCAAACAAATTTTGGTGTTGATAGCTCTTTGAAGAGTTCTTGGTGATAACTATCAAAGGGGGAGTTGATTGCAGCTATCAAGTAATTCCTAATGATGACATGTGTGAATGAAGGATATATCACAAGCTTCATCATTCAGATAAATCAAGTTCTATTTAAAGTGTTAATTGAACGTGGATTCAAGCAGAGAAACTTGAAGTTTTAAAGTTGTGAAATTGAGAAAGTGTGAAAACTCGTTTGGTCTTGACTTAGCGTTATAGACCGGACACACACAAAATACTTTTAAACCATTTTTTATTTTATTAAACTTCTTAAAACTTATCCAGACAAGTATAAAATCGGTTAAGAAATGTTTTTAATCAACTAAGAAAGCTAATTCACTGCCTAATCAATTAAAGATTTGGTTAAGTTGATTAAAGCAGGGAGAAACGTCTTCTAATCGGATAAAAAATTCATCAATCGATTAAAGCATATAGGCGTTTTCGAGTTTCTTTTTCTAGATTAAAGTTGTCATTTTTAAGGTTGTTTTAATTGATTAAAACATGTTGTAATCAATTAACTCGTTTAGTTTGGCCCATGGTTTATTTACTTTTTGAGCCAAATGTTTTCCTATTTAAATGAGGTTTCTCATCATTTCATTTCACACCATATTTTTAAATAGAAATTTTCTACTCTCTCTCTAAAATTCCTTTTTTTTTTCCTACTAAATTCGTCGTAGTTCCCAAAAAGTGAAATTTTTTATGAGAGTTGTATTGTACAGGTACTGAGCTTAATATATTTTATTCAAGAGTATGATTCTCTTGTATAATATTTTTGTAAAGAATTTGAAGGTTGCAAGCTAAACCTAAAAAAAACTTAGGTAAATGTTCTTAAGTTAAGTTTGTGTATTGTTAAATGTCTATGGGTTAATTTTGTGTAAAAGTTTCAAGTATTATTGAAGGTTGTTTGGATTGATCATGTAAAAGCTCAAAATTGCTTTTATTATTATAACTCTCAAGAAGAAATTTTTTTGAGGAAAGAAATAGGTTGGATAGTTAAGTTGAATCAGTATAAATCTTTGGTGCAAATATCTTTATTCTTTCTCTCTTTATTTTTTTTTCTCCTCTGAGTATCTCTCTTATTCTTCATCTTCTTTTTATCTTTATGTTGTTATCTTTTTGTTTATTTATCTACTAATATAAAAAAAAATTAAAAGTATTTTTTTTATAAATTGTTTTTAATTTTTGAATATCACAGTTCATCATCCTCTTTTGTGTTTGAAATCACTTGATCAACGCCACCTTTAAAAAATTAAAGAAGAATATAAAAAATATTTATTATATATTCACTAACATGTTAATACAAATGTATTTGATAAAACCTCAAAAGCAACATCTTCAAATGAAGCTTGGATATGCTTGAGAAGTATTATGGTGGTGATACAAAAGTCAAGAAGGTGTGACTTCAAACCAATGAGAAGACACTATGGAATGTTGTAAATGAAACACAATGAACCATTAGTAGACTATTTCTCTAGATTGCTTGCTTTGACAACTCAGATGAGGAGCTCAGGTGAAACCTTATCAGAAGAGGTGACAATTGAGAAGGTTTTATGCTCTCTTCCTCCTCAATATGGCATGATATATAATAGTGAAAATTGAGGAGTCAAAATAATTGATAAATTTGAATATGGAAGAGTTGCAAGGAACACTTGAGACTCGAAAGCTCAAAGTGAATCAAAGAGAAGGTGAAAAAAATGTTGAACATACTTTGATGGTTAAAACCATGAAAGGAACTTCTGAAGAAAGAAATAAGAAATGAAAGAAAGAAAGTGGGTGAATTTACAAAGAAATAACAAGAATTAATGACAAACTTGAATCTTCAAGGGGAGGAGGAGGGTTAATCAAGAATCATAACAAGATGAAGAGTTATGACAAGAAAAATATACAATGCTTCAAACTGCGATAAGTATGGACACTAAGCATCTGAGTGTTGGTTTAGAAATGGAAAACAAACAAATAATGAAGAATAAGAAAATGTGGCTCAAGAAGACTCAAATCTTATTCTATTGATGATAAGAACTATTGAAACAAAGGATTCAAGAAAGATGAATATTGTGAAAAACAAGAAGAAGAAGAGAGAAATAGATTTTGAGTTAGTTGATATTGTGATACAGTGGGAGAACTGACTGTTATACTGGTTTTTGTATTTTATCGCAAATGTTGCGGTTAGCAAGAGTCGCTACCGGCTTTTCTTTTATCCAACCAAGGAAAGGGTGAAAAGAACATAAAAGACCTTTTTCGAGAGTTTCTGAGTAAGGGAGGTAGATTATGGAAATGGAAGGTGTTAGCACCCTTTCCATCTGTGGTTTTCCACAGGCTCTTAGGTACTTGCTCATTTTGAAAATTGCTTTCGTGTTTGTGTGTTTTGAAAATTTTGTTTGCTTTATGCTAACTCTTGTATCAGTCCTCAAGAGTGTTGATAAAGTATTTTTTTCTGAAAAGGGTTTTGAAAGTGTAGTGTGAAAAAAATGGTTTTTTGAGCAAGTACCTAACAACTATCTACCTACTCAAAAAATGTGTTATTTTCCTCCTTTCCTTTAGATAGTGCCATCATACTATTAGTGAGTACGTATCCCTATCATTGGATGTTGAGGGACTATCGAAGGGACGTTTACGATCACTAAGGCAACTGGGCAAGAATTTTTAGTGATTGTCCTAAAGTTCTAAGATCACTTTTTAACCGAGGCGACGCCAAAAGGGTCATCGAGGGACTTGTGATCTCTTGAACTAAAGGACAACCACTAAAGATTCTCACGTTTCGAGAATTGTGACAGTTTCCGAAGGCAACCAAAGTGGGAGATACCCTAGGGGTGAGCACGTGCAACTGTGTTGATTCAGTTCATTTATCTTGCGTATTTAGGGTTATCTAACTGCTTTAATTTCAGTTTTTTTTCATGCAATCCTATTAATCTAAGCAGTTAATAGTGCGGAAAATAAATTACAGAAAATAAAATTCCTAAGCTATTACAAGGCCTTGGGGCAATTACATAAATAACACAAGAAAAATAAAATGCGGAATTTTAAACCTAATTAAAGCTATTACAAACCGGGAAACAATTACATAATAGAAAAAGAACACATGAAAAAGATAAACGCGCGAAGAATGGAAAGAGCGTCTAAACCCTAAAAATGTTTAAAAGAAAATCTTTTTTTTGTTTTTATTTATTTATGAAAATATTAAGTTGTAACAATATCCTAATTAACTAAATTAAAAAGGAAAGAAAAAAATTATTAATTACAATTAATTCTAATGAAACTAATATTTTTGGTATTTTAAAGAAAAAAGATTTGAAATTTAATCCTAGTTTCTAGTTAATTTTAAATTAAAGAAAAAAGATTAAAGTAATTATACTAAATTAATTTACAAAATTAAGTTTAATTATAAAAAAAACCTAATTCTATTTTTTGTGTTTTATTTTTTATTTTTTATTTTTATGATTTAAATAAAAAAACTGATTTTTGAAACAATTAAAATAAAATAAAGAAATTGAAAAATCACAAAAAAAATGAGAGAATGGGCCTGATAGTGAAAGCAGTATGAGGGGTG